TGTGGCTTCTGGCTGTTAGCTCTGCATCATTACTGTTAAATCCATGTGGCCCAGGGGAGGTGAGTGCAGAGCCATCCCATCCATACTGTGGTTGGTCATGGCCGACTCAGGCCTCACGCTTTAGGAGGCCCCACGGTGCCTGCCCCAACTGTCCTATGGATGGGATGGTCCCCCATACTCAAGATTAGCCTGCTATGGGCCCTAGGTGGGCTGGGATTGGCAGCAGAGGTTGGGCCCTTTATACTCACCATGACGGCTGGAGCCACAGGGAAGTGGAGCTATGCAGCTGCTTGTTTCATTCCATAACCATCTCCCAAGCCTGCACTGAGGCTGGAGCACTTCACTTCCCTCTGCCATGGTGAAGTTGAGTAACCAGGTAGGCTTGAGAGTTGGCAGCAGGGCAGAGGCTGCTATGTCACTGCTTACCTGCATCTACTGCTGCTGCAGTGAGTGCAGGAGCACCTGACCCCTGCTGCTGCACCATGCTAGGCACCCTGGTAATCCCCGAGGTCACGGGCCACATCCTTCAGGGGGAGGGGTCTTGAGGGAAGGGATGCGATGGGGAGAAAGGGCGAAGCAGGAGTGGGAAGGGGTGGGGATGAAGCAGAGGCTTGACTTGGAGGAATGATGCAGACACACACAGACACACACATGCCCTTCCAAGGCCACAGGGATTCATGTGCCAATAGCTATGCTCAGGTTAGATTGAGAGGACTGCTCAGGCTGCAGATGGCCCGTGGGCCACAAGTTTGAGACTCCTGCCTTATGGCCTGTCTTCATTACAAGTCTGTTTGCATGGCTACCTGACACTGTTATGGGTTTCTGTGTTCTAAGATTTATTAATTTATTTCCAACTTAAAAAAAAGGCTAGGAAGAAGTATTTGAAGAATCAGGTTTAATAAGAAATACTGATACTTCTGTACTTGACAAACATAATAGTATGCCAATGTTAACTTAATGCTATTTTTAGAGATATTGACTTGCAAAATGCGCACTTCATTGTGGCAAAATAGAAATGCTTCATTTATTGTCTATACTTATTGTATAAGCCTTTTGGGAACTGCAGATAGATGTAGAGTACATGCCTGTCTGCAAGAAACTTTAAATATTTCAACAGCTGCTTCTGTATGTTGTGGTCTCTTCTTATAGGCTCTTCCATTTGTATAGTACCTACATTTTAAATGTAGTACTGCTACAAACATATGTTCATGTGACAGGATGTATTAATGTATGGCTCTGTTTTGTAGTAATAAAACCCCTTTTTACATCTCGCTACTGTTTAGGAATGGATAGCTTAAAGACAGTGTACTCTAAATCCTATAACCTTTCTATGCATATAACCTCCATTGAAATTGTGGGAGGTTTTGTGTGGAAGAATAAAGGATCGGTGTGTGTTTTAAGGCCCATGAACAGGGACACTTACAGGACAAAATATGTAGGATAGTTGAGAGCTTCAGAAGGGGGATAATATTCAAGACTGTAAAGTCCGTATGTAAAGGAAAGCTAGGAAAATAAATAACTGACCTACTGTGGTTGCATCAAGGACATTTTAAAAGTCTGTCAATGAAAAGGAAATCATATAAAATGCACAAAGAAAATAACATGGCTGAGTATAATGTGGTAGGAATGATACAGTCACAAAGCAAAGACACAAAATGAGGTATAATCAATAAAGGATGTTAAAGAGAATACATATTCAAGTACCCCCAAGCAACAAATGAGTAACCTGTCTCCCTATTGCTAAACCCTCCATGTCATATTTGTGACCTTCCTGTTGCCCCCAAGCTATGGAAATCTGTATATATCCTTCTTAGTGGCAAGCCTATGACCTTCCCCTTCCATCTATCAAATCCTCTGATGTCATCCAATGCCCAATTACAAGCCAGCACATTTCCAGAGGATGTTTATAAATTATTTAGGAAAATAACTTTTAAAGATTATTGATAGAAAACAATGTCAACTTTTATAAATCTGGTTTTGTTTCTTTAGGAACTATAGAAACAAATGTTGAGGTTTTGAGAGCTGTTACAGAAATCCGTATCCTTTTACTTACTGTAATTAACTGGCTTACATCTTCTACTATATATATATATATATGAGAGAGAGAGAGAGAGAGTGTGTGTGTGTGTGTGTGTGTGTGTGTGTGTGTGTGAGAGAATCCATTTGTTCGAGAGCTCCTCCCTTAAATGGTAAGAGCTAGGACCACCAAATTTGGTATGCAGTTTCCTCTTATTATAACTTAAAGCAGGTTCAAGGTTTGGTTGTGCCAGGACAATGGGATGTGCGTGGAATACGATTGTTTTGCATCAAACAAATGACCACAGGGGAGGCAGCACAGGGAACAGTCATACTCACAAATGACCAGAGAGAAGCAGCAAGCATCCTAGCAGCTGTGCATCCACCCCTCCCTCTGACCCCAAGAGCTACATTTGTGCACATATCTGTTTTGTGGAGAAAGCAAAGAAGCAGCAGAACATTCATTTGTGTTTGGGTTTTTAAAAAGTTACGGTGAAGTTTAGGTTTTGAAATCTTTTTTTTAAAAAAAAAAAAAAAAAGTTCATAAATGTACAGATAATCAATGCGCTATTTCACTCTGCTGTATGTGTTTTGTGGAGTAAAAGAGAGTTTACCTCTTCAGAAGGACTACATCTATGGAGTATTCCATTTTAGTTCTTAGTCTCTCCTAAGATTGCCAATATGTTTCTAAGAGTTACTTATCTGGAAGTTTTGTAAAGTGGACTCCTGTTCTCAAGGAATTAAACTGAAATCGTGCAATCATTTGAGTTACATTTTTTGAACTATCTGATGTGTGCATCAGTGCAAGTTCTTTATTTAGGTTTTAATAAAACAGCTATTATTTTCAGTTAAAAAAAAGAAAGATATGGTTTACATTCTTAACTGAATGGTTTGAATTTGATCTTAGCTGCTCAGTTTAGAAGTATTTTCAAGGAATTCCCATATTTTAACTACATACAGTCCAAGGTTTTGGATGATGTAAGTAAGAAACATAATTTATTAATTATGTTTGCAAATAGTATTTCATATATTAAATATGTTAAATACATTTAAGTGCCATTTTGTATTTACAGTTGTTACTGGTTGTACCTCACTAACAGTTTGAGTATTGCAGCAGTACAGATTTCAGGATCAGATAAGCAGAATAGTAATGTACATCATCTAGAAAAAAGCCCAGGATTATACCACCCCTCCATTTTTAATAGAATATTAGTGTAAATTTTGATTTGTATATCAGTTTTACTTGCAAATTAATAAGAGTGTTTATTTTTCAGAATAAATATAAACAAATTTTTTTGAAAAATAAAATTTGGAAAATCAATAGAACTATTATGTCACAGGAAAGAGACAGCCATTTAGAAAATACTTTCTTATCCTATATCTAGGGTTCTTCTTCGAGTGATGTCCCCATGGGTGCTCTGGTGCTGGTGCATCCTCACACTGGTAACTGGAGATTTTTTCTAGCAATGCACTGCTGAGCTGCGCATGCACCCTGATGCCTTCTCATGCCATTGGCGTCTATTAGGCACGTGCATAACCCCCTCAGTTTCTTCTCTATGTCAGATGGAGCTCTGTTCTCTTGTCCATTTTTCCTCCAAAAACAAAAACATTGTTAATTGTCCTCAGTTTTACTTGTCTTTCCAAGTTTTGACTCTCACTCAACCCACTACCTTTATAAACAAACATTTTTTCCTTCATTGTTCATCCAGACTTCGTTCTTCCTCCACACAGTTAGCTTCAGCACCGCCACCGCAGTGTATACTTTTCATCTGGGCCTCATCAGCACTGCCATCTCTGAGCTCATTAGTGCGGTCTGTTCGCTCACTGAGGTCACTGGTCCCGTCAGTCTCCCGCAATGAAACCGGCGCTGAGCCATACAGCGTCTTTTCATCTGAACATTCAAGTCCAACTCAGCGGTACCCACCGTGGGAGTCTTCTTCCTTTACGCATCCCCACCCTCCTCCACCACTGACTTCGTACTCACAACATTGACCGTATCCACATACCCCCTCACCCTGGACAGTGGCATCACTGGAAGTGTTGGTCTTCTCGTACGTGCTATCACACTGCTCCATTAACAACATTGAAAAGGCCACCTCATTCTCCTCAACCCACACCATCAACCACAGCACTGAACTCTCCAGAGCCCTCTCAGTCTGAATTGGATAATTCTCTATTGAAGGGGGAGGACAGGTCACCCTTACATAACTCCTTCTCTTCACCAGATGAGGCTTTCATTTCTACCACCCTGCCTCCATCCAATGATTCTAAACAATTCCAAGAACATTTTAAAAAAGTAGCCCTAGCACAAGAACGGGACCTGCAGGAAGTGCAAGAGAAACAATATTGCCTCTTATGTACTTTACAGCCCCCTGCATACTCTAAGATAACCCTTCTGATGGATGAAGCCATCATGGACCCTGCCAATAATAACTGACAAACCCCAGTGTGCATTACCCTCACAGATAAGAGGGCTGATTGCAAATATTTTATAACACCTAAAGGCATGGACTTTCTTTTTACACATCCACCCCCAAACTCCGTAGTAGCTGATTTGGTGTGACACGGCGCAAAACAGCCCAACATGAGGTCCACTCCACAGGACAATGGCCATAAATGGATGGACATTATGGGGCGCAAGGTCTACTCTTCAGCTATCTTGATTCTTAGAGCAGCAAATTACACTGCTGTGCTCGCTGATTACGATTACTCTAGCTATTCTAAACTTCAGGAGCTCTTACAGTTTCTCTTGGAGCACAAGAGGCTTAATGTCATGCATGAAAGGCATACCATGTCCCGCACAGCATTACAATCTGCCATGGATGTGGCTGACACTGTTACCCGGATCACCACCTTGGCTATTGTTATGTGGAGAGCATCATGGCTCCATGCATCTGGGGTACATAGGGACCTCCAACAGAAAGTTGAGGACCTTCCCTTTGACAAGACCCACTTATTTGCAGCTAAAGCAGATGAATTAATTCATTCAGTGAGGGACTCCCTCACGACCCTCTAGATTCTGGGCATATACATGCTCCTTTTCAAGAGAATAAGGTGTAACACCTACTAGAGAACCAAAGAATTGTACCAGTCACAGTCCAGATGTGACTTCTGCCAAAAACACAGGCCTTAGCGGTGCAGCACCAACAACAGCAACCCTCAACATCCCACATTCTTCATCAAAGCAGCAGATTTGAAGATTTGGTCAGGAGTTTGAAAGACATCCCTGCTGCTGTCACACCAGCATCTATTGCTGTTGGACAAGTGATTTTATTCTCAGGGGAAGGGTTCCAAACCCACCTCCACGATTCGACTACTGCTTCGTAGTCACCCAGAGTGGAGAACCCACGGAGACATCACTAGAAGAAGAAAAGAGAGTTATTCACCCTATGCAGTAATGGGAGTTTTTTGAGATGCGTGTCCCCGTGGGTATTCTACTACCTTCCCTTCTTCTCCTGCTTTGGAGCCTTTCAGTGGCATGTGTAGAGAAGGAATGAAGGGGACTGCGCTGTGCGTGTGCCTAACAGACACCAATGGCATGAGGAGGTGCCAGGGCATGTGCACGGCATGGTGGGGTACTGCTAGAAAAAATCTCCAGTTGCTGGTGCGAGGACGTACCAGCACCCAGAGTGGAGCACCCACAGGGACATACATCTCAAAGAATTCCTGTTACTGCACATAGTGAGTAACCCTCTTTTCTTTATTGTTTAGATCAGGGGAAGGCAAAAGAGCCTCTGCAGGCCAGATTTGGCCCACCAAGCGGCTTGATCTGGCCTACAGAGAACCTGCTGCTGCCCCACCCCAAGGCCAATCAGGGCCTGGGGGCAGGAGGGAGCATGTGAAGTCTCCTGCTCTCCAAGGCCTCCGGTGCTTCTAAGTGCCACATGCTCTTTGCAGGATGGGGGCAGGGTGGGAGGAGACTTCACAGACTCCTCCTGCCCCTAGGCCAATCAGAGCTTGGGGGCAGGAGGAGCACATGAAGTCTTCTCCTGCCCTGCAAGGGGCTCGGCACTAAGTCAACTGCCAGCTGCTGCTCAGGTGGCGGTTGACTCTAAGCACAATGCAGGGTGAGGGCAGTGAGCGAGAGACTTTGCATGCTCCCTCTCCTCCCTGGCACTGATTGACCTGGGGGTGGGGTGAGCAAACGAAGTCTCCTCCCACTGCCAGGGGCAGGGCACCTAGAGGGAACCTCCAGCTATTCAGAACATCTGGCGGCTATACCGGGGGGCAAAGATTTCATGCGTTCCCCCACCCCCAGATCAATCTGTCTGTGGGTGGGGAAGCATGGAAGTGTCTTGGCCCTGCCCCTTGTGGGGCAGCCCGGGGCCACTCCAAAAAATTCTGAAGTTGCCCCTGGTCAAAAATTATTGCCCACCCTTGGTTTAAAGAGTCTTGCAGACTTTCCATTTTCCATTTTTATTCTCCAAACCCTAGGGCTGTATATTGAAGCAACTATTCTTCTAGCACATAAATACACTATTACAGGTATTGCAGTCTTGAGGTTAGAATGAGCAAAGAGGTATTTATTAGAGATTTAGGTCCTAATTCAGCAAGCATTTTAACCATATATTTTAAGATGGATTGAGGCATTAGGGAATGGCTATGCAGACTTCATATCCATTTGTTAACAGCTTCTCTACAGAAAATAATGAGCAATCCTGTGGCACCTTAGAGACTAACAAATATATTAGATCTGAGCTTTTGTGGCTAAAACCCACTTCATCAGATGAGTTGGAGTGGAAATTACAAAATCCAGGGTATATACAATAGCAAACGAAGTTATATGTCAATTGTTGGACTACAGTTTATGAAACTAATTAAGTAAGGCTGCATGTATCCCAGTCAGAACATTTGATGTGGAAATATGCTCATGATTTAATATATTTGTTAAGCTGTAAGGTGCTACAAGACTGCTCTTTGTTTTTAAAGTTACAGACTAACAAGGCTACTACCCCTCTGAGGCTTTCTACAGAAAATGTTAAGATTAGTGTTTGCACAGGTAAAACACTTGAAGAGGTGGAAGAAAAGCAGCACCATTTCCTGAAGAACATACAGCCCACGCTACATGGCAAAGTTGCTTTATCCATTGTGAGGCAGTTATGGAGATGTCAGATGAGCTTTGGCAAATTCCCACCTCCATCTAAGACACCTGTAAGAGAGCTGACAGGAAATGCTTTGTTCCTGCTAAGGATATGGACTTTTTTCTTATTTACCCATTCGCAAACAAATCCCCTTGTTGTGGAGGCTGCACCATATAGATCTAAGTTCCCACAATTCAGGGCTATGGCTCACGACAAGGAACATAAGAAGCTGAACCTTCTGCTACATTACAGCTAAGGATTGCGAACTATTTGGGCCCTTTAGCGAACCATTATTTCGATAACTATTCAAAATTAGGGGAGCTCAGGACTCCAAAAGACCAATTTTGAAGGCTGTTCATGAGCTCTATACTATTTGCTTGCACAGCCCTGCAGAGACTTCTTTAGACGTGGCGGGCAGGGAGGCAAGGAAAACTGCAGCAGCAGTCGTGATGCGTAGAGTATCTTAGTTGCAGGTGTCTGGGGTTCCTTGAGAACTTCAGACTAAGGTGGAGGACCTCTCTTTTGACAAACAGAAACTGTTTGCCACTAAAACAGGCAAAGTCTTGCACAGTAGCAAGGACTTTTGCACTACCCTTTGCACTTTAGGCATGTACACCCCGCCCTGTCATTGGAAGCGGTAAACTCCATTTAGTAGAAATAAAGACGGGCAGTACTGTCACTTACAACAGAGAGCCTATGATTATAATTGCTCAAGACTGCAAGAGCAGAAGGGGCGCCCACCCAGAGATGCTCTTCCGCTACTCAGACAGCAAAACAGCAAATATGAGACATTGGTCGAGGGTCTGCCTGACCACCCCATAGATTCGGTGCCTTTGGATCAACGCCATCTTTTTACCCACTGGTTGCGCCCTTTTTTACACCATTGAGAGTCTGTAA